CCCGGAAGTAATAGGGCGTGTCTACACTCTGCTTGCCTGACACTACGACGATATCACCATGATATGGTTGTAGCCAGGTGACCGACGTGGCGCTGAACGACGTGTCAAGAGCAAATCTGTGTCGACGACCGCACCCGAGCAGCGTGTTCCCGGCGTCTAAACTCTACCTGCTACTACGATAATATCACGAGTACAACGAGGTACAACAGCCCACGGGTCTTCGGAGTACTTTGCAAAGCAGCCGACCGATAAATCTCGTCTTTTCAAGGGAACCAGCGCAAATCCGTCCGGAAACTATACAACGATGATGGAAATGCATTCACTTTCCTGGGACTCGAAACAAGATCCACCATCATTGCATGTTGTGGCATGCACAAATCGACAAACTGCCAGTGTTGGCAATTAAGGCTTATGGACCCACCTGGCCAGCCATTAAGGGTTATTAAGCCTTAAGGCTTAATTTGAGGGCAGCCCTTAACACCTTAATTCCCTTTTTGGGAAGTATTCCCACGCTGTGTTTACAACCACAAAGTCTCGTATAGGCTCATTAGTACCGTGAAATGTAATGTTCTGGTATGTATTCATTCATCTTTTGAATCCCCGCTACATTATATTGGTGCGTGCAAGAAGAATTAAATAATCCGGGACAATTTTTGTTCAATGGTGTGGCTTGTCTCGAGACCATCATCTAATTAAGTATTTTGCATGAATTGAATCCTTGAATGGTGCTGGATGCTCGGTGACCTCGGTGATTATCGCATCCCTGTGATGTACATCAGAAATTGATGGCACGGAGACCACTGCCGAGGTGCCCGGCGTTTGCCGGCCCAACTTTAAGCCCTTAACCTTTGGAGGCCTCACCATTAAGGCTTATGATAAGGCCTTAATAAGCCTTAACCTTATTAAGGCCTTAACCCTTAGGGCCAACACTGCTTGAAACTGCACCCAGAGCATAACGGATGTATCCCAAGGATTCTCCGCCTCGAAGCTATCGCATCGCAACATCTAGGGATTGATTGGGTCGCCATACCGAACAGCTCTTGCTTTGGAATAAAAGCGGTTACTCAACTGCACTTTCCTTGTGCTATCCTTCTCTTTCAGCACATTCTCAATCGGCCCGCGGTCGCTTGTCCTTTTCGCTTTTTTTGGTTGGCTCTTGCTTCTCAGTACCTCTTTTTTACTTCAACTTCAAGTGCTGCGCACTATTGCATTTTCTTTTTACACGATGTTCAAACTCCTCGCCATCCTGCCTTTGGTTGCTTTTTTCGCCGGAACCGTCGTCGCTGCTCCCATTGTCTCCGACATGTCATTAGAAGTACGGTCTCTTGTTCATACTCCAGGGATCATTTAACCATGCAATCTACTTTGCAGGCGCGCAAGTCCCGCAATCAGGCCGCTGTTGCCACGCCGGCTGCTGCTGCTACGGGCGGTCAGCTTGTTGCCGTAGGTCCCTTGTTGAATTCCAATATCCATCTCGAGTTGAGATTGTAAACCGATAGTGCACGCCCTTCGATCCGTCCGACACAGATTTCGGCGGAGGCAGCTCTCCCGACGACAGCCTGGATCCGGTGAGCCCTCAAACACAACTATTATGGCTGCTGAGGGACCAACCGACCATTTCTGTGTCTAGTGCAGCATCGTAGAGGCTCCTGACGTAGGCGTCCCGGCGAGTCCTCTTTTGCTTTACGCTGAATTATCCCATGCTGAATCCGAAATCTTAGTGTTCGAACGACCAAGGCATTGCCGACTCTGCCAACCTGCCGCTCGTGAGTTTCTTCACTTAACGGGCCAGTGTTTGAGCTTGTCATTTGAATTCTAGTGCAATACCGTGAACGCCGGGGCTCCTGCTCCACCCCCCGCTCCGGCTACAGGCGGTCAGCTTGTTGCCGTAGGTCCCTGTCGAATCGAAATATCCATCTCGAGCTGAGATTGTAAACCGATAGTGCACGCCCTTCGATCCGTCCGACATAGATTTCGGCGGAGGAAGCTCTCCCGACGACAGCCTGGATCCGGTGAGCGCTCAAACACAACTATTATGGCTGCTGAGGGACCAACCGACCATTTCTGTGTCTAGTGCAGCATCGTAGAGGCTCCTGACGTAGGCGTCCCGGCGAGTCCCCTTATGTTTTACGCTGAATTTCTATTCTATGCTGAATTCGAAATCTTAGTGTTCGAACGACCAAGGCATTGCCGACTCCGCCAACCTGCCGCTCGTGAGCTGTTTTTGCGATGTTCACTGAATGAGCTCGTATTTGAACTTTACTTTCTAGTGCAGTACCGTGAACGCCGGGGCTCCAGCTCCGTCCTCCGGCTCCGCGGCTTGAACGTCCACGTCCTCGTTGGCCACAATATATTTTGAATACATTCGAAATATATTAAAGACTGTCAAGCTGTTTCTTCACCGGGCTCGTCGGAAGTGACATGCATACTGTAAACGCGTAATTTCTGTGGCATTCCATGGGGGCTGTTATTGTATTGTTGGCTATCAAATTTCAAGTGCATCGACGTAAGCCTTGAAGGCGTATGAAAGTGTTGAAAGTTCTAAGTACCCGTGCCGCCCGGGGCCTGAGGCGCGAATTGCCTGCCACTGGGAAGTGAATGGCAAAGTCGCAGATCTTTCCCAGCCGTCTCCAGATCCACCATGGCAAAAGGACTCAAGCCCGCAAAGCTTTCTGATCGACCCCAGGCTCGCAAGATTTCAGGCCTCCCGCCCGCACCTGTAATTTGGTTCAAGAAATTTCAATTCAGCTACATAAACAACCAAGTATGGACGAGTCGAATCCCAGCAGCAATCCAGAACGAATACCGCGAGCAGCCGAGCAGGAATAAACAACTCACACGAGGACGTGATTGCGAAAATAAGTGAGTAGTAACTGCGTCAGCGGGGTAGCCGTCAAACAGTAGCAAGAATAATACAAATCATACATACACTCAGCTGCGCGAGCAGCAACATGAATGAAGCTATACTCGGGCGCGTGGAGAATCAAGTGCACGCTGTCAATTGTCTGCAATACCATTAGAGAGCGAACGTTCTGGATTTAGCAAGCTAGAGGGTATCCAAGGACAACATGGATGCTACGCACAAAAAAAAAAAAAAGAACTCCGAGGCAAACAACCTGTTCCAGGGTTTAGACTGAGCTGGGAATTTGAAACTCGCAACGAGCTGAAACTTCTGTGAAGCTGGTGCGAAAGATCAGCAATGTGCTCTTAGATTCTGCGGCACTAACAATGCGATGCCGCGCACGCTTCCCCGGAATATGGTGAGATTGGTAAGGGGCGGAGCACAGACAATGCACGGTTGGCGGCAAGGGCAGCGGCGGCGATGGGACAATGCAAGAGGAGGTGGCCATGGAGGCTCTACGCGTGCGGGATTTAGCGCTGGACGTCAATCGATGGGGAGCGAACACGAGGGAAAGGAGATGGAAAGAAGGAGAAAGAAGAGAAGGAGGACAAGCGAAGCAAGTGAAGCAGTTGCGCCGGCCGGTCGTCCAGTACGACGAAGGCGCCATACAAAGCATACGAGTACGGCCCGACTACTCCTCGTACTGCTTACTTCTCGCACTCGCACCGGGTCGGGATACGAACACAATGACAATGGGAATAGAATAACAAAGCCCAGCTCTCACCTGCCTCTCGCCCAAGAGCTCGAGATACGTGACCGCGAACGCGACCCAGAAGCCCGCGTCCACGCCGAGGCGCGCCGCCTCCGGCTCGTTGAGGGACAGGAGGCCGGAGACCGTGGTGGAATAGGAGAGGGTGCTGTCGGTGAATGTGAGAAGGGCGACTCTGCGGGTGGGGAGGGGGATGGCGTGTTGTTATTGTTCTCAGCAGCGAAGCAGGGGTGAAGTGGCGGTGCGGCTGTGTCGGTGATGGTGGTGAAGATCCTGTCAGGGCGACCGTCGAGTCCAGCCGCGACGCGCCCACATCCACGCCCACACCCACATCCTTCTCGCCCTCGCCCTCGCCCTCCGGCCGCGATTTGGAGTACGGGTACAGCGACCCACTAACGACGGCGCGCTCGCGGTGGGTGTGAGCGGGTATGAGTGGACCGTGCTCGTATTTGTACGCGGGCTCGTATTAGCATCTCCTTCGTGCGTGAAAGGGCGGGGGTACCGATGTATATTGTATAGGCACATTCGTGCGCGACTCAAACAGCAGCGCGCCGGGTGGGTGGGGCGAGTCTGGGCGTGGCGGGATGAAGGGGATGAACGCCGGGCGGGAAGGCGGGTGAGCGGATGCGGATGTACCACCCGTTCCGCGGCCGGTGCATCGTCCAGTGGATCCGCCGCGTTTCGTTGTGCACAAGGTGCTCGATGATTTCTTCGTCTTCCAGGAAGCATTCCTACGCCAGTAAATTCAATATTAATACATGAATTGAGGGGAGAAACCGCACCTTGACCCGCAGGTCCGAGCTGTGTACAAACAAGCACAAGAAATTCATCAACCTATGATCCCTGGGAAGAAAGGGCGAACCTCTGAACGATATAACGGGTCAGTTTTTGCGTAGATGGGTCTACATTCGGAGGGACGGTTCATCACACCGACGCGGGGAAATTGTGAATGGAAAGGCGAAAAAGGCAATGTGGCGGTGCGCGCGTTTGCAGCTGTTAGGAGCGGGCTTGCTTTCAACTTCCACCTCGTTCTCGCATCTCCGTTGCCGTTACTAGTCGGTAGCCGTTGTATTCCCGTCCTCCGCTAATTCGACGGCCTCCGTTGCGACTCGCGCCGTTTGGAGCCGAACGACGATCTCGCTAGGCCTTGAATACTTATCCGCACTGTGTCCGTCCTTGAAGTTTCCACTCAAGTTTTGGCCTGGCGACTGCGAGTCAGTACTCAGGCTTACTTATGTATCATGCCCACTCTGTCCGGTAACTTCAATTTCACACACATCTCCCAACTCAACCTGTGGACACACCAACCAAGCCCTTGGGATTCGGTAACAAAATTCGCCTTTGTTACTGCTACTGTTCCTTCTTCGAATTCAAACCCAAGTATAGAGCGACTTGATAGCGGATGGTCAGCGCCTGCTTGCTGTGTCAATAAGCTGGTACGCATGCAGGAGTGCCGGTTCGATTCCGGGTCAAGTCATTCCATATGCGCCGCGGAATTTCTTTTTTTTTCCTTCTTGGGATGGAGGCCCTCTTGATCAAGTCCCGGCTTCGATCTGCGCCTGTACTTGGGCACAGAGCTTCCTTTCAAAAAAAGTTATTTTTGAGTGCTTTTTGATTCTCTCTTACATCACCAAGCCCCGCCGGAAGTCCCAAACCACAAACCAAGCACAGAACGATTCAGATTCAGACTTGATGGCGGATGGATGGTCCGCACCTGCTTGCTCGCATGTTGCACCAATCGCCCCTTGTACCCGCACGAGGTCTGGTTCGATTCCGGGTCGAGTCAGTCTTCAGGTCCAAAGATTTTTTTCTTAAGCTCCTCAAGATACCTACTGCGATTCGCTGGAGCGCGCCGACGAGGGCAGGACGAGGCAATAACATGAACAATGTTAATTCTTGTACTCTCTTCTGACCTTTCAACTCTCGCCTGATGTGAAGTACTCCAACCGCCACCACAGTGTAACTCAAATCCAAATCCAAAACCAGGCACAGAACAAATTGATAGCGGATGGTCTGCACCTTAGTGAAATCAGTACGTATACGCATGCAGGGTGCCTGTTTGAATCCGAGTCGAGCGATCAAAGTGAACATATGTATGCCACTTTTTTGGCGTACGGTTGAATTCTGATCCAGGTCGAGCGGTTCGACTTCAGCTCCAGCCTGAAATAGATCCTTCACTCCCAACGCCCGAGGACGACAACCAAGCCGATTCTCAAACCAGGCCTAAAATGACTTGATAGCGGATGGTCCGCGTCTTTTGCTATGTCACTATATTGGTTGCAGTGCCGGTTCGATTCCGGGTCAAGTCCTTTTTAGCTGCGCTCTTCGATTTTTCTTTCCTTCTTGGTACGGATCATGGTCAAATTCGGGGCTTCTAGGCACCGAACATCCTTTCAAAAAAAATGAGAAAACTCGCTCTCTAGTATCTTACAGGGAAGTAGATTTCTTCGCGGTCCAACTTGCTCTCGTGCTCTCGTGCTTTCAACTTCCTCCCTCCTCGACTCCTCCAACTCGAGCCTGACTCCCACTGAAGTCGTCAACCGATATATACTCCAGATTTGACGCCCTGCGTGCGTAACATGTTGCTTGTTCACTGCTGGCTGATTTCTCCGCAGCAAGAAACCGCTGAAAAAATAACTGCCAAACACTACGAGCCCCAAAATCAAGCATGGGATGACTTCATAGCGGATGGTCCGCACCTGCTTATATGGAGATGGAGTGTATGTATTTGGAGGAGTTCCAGGTTCCGGTTCAAGTCTTGCCCTCTTCATCAAAATATATTGTTTTGTGCAACAATCACTTAAAGCTTGACGTCAACTCGATGTTCAACATTCAACCAAACCCAAAATGACTTGGTAGCGAATGGTCTACGGCTGCTTGCTGTAAAGGATTGCTGAAAGTATTGTACTCTACCCACAAGATTTCCGAATTGATTGCGGCTCAAGTCATGCTATGATTACATTCATATGTTTTTGAGTTGTTCAGTACGGATACAAGTGTGGTTCGAGTCGTGGGCCACCGTCATGATCGTGCTTGACGTTTGAACAAGGACATCAACATATTCCCCGGCAACGCAACTGCAAGTAAACCTTTATGCGTGCAGTCCGCTGTCAGTCCTCATAATGGAATATATCTAGGGTGAAAGTAAATATAAATAAATTCAACAGATAAATGTACAAGGTGATGAATAGATAAATATGAGAAGCCAAATCCACAACTTGGGGAGGAAATGAGATGTAAGTAAATAAACAACCTGAACACATATAACTGAACAAAGAGGAAAATGGTTACAAGGCTGGGTCAAATCTCGGGATAGAATCAAAGCAAAACAGGGACCGGGTGGTGTCCAGCACCCTCCTTGTCAGAACCTTTGCCTTCAAACTCGGAGGTGCTTTCACTCAGTAACTGAACTGGTGCATGCAAGGTCTGAAGCTGAACAAGAGCTTCCTCATGAGCATTTTCAACAGTGGCAACTTGGGAGTCAATTTTGGCCACATCTTTAGTTTGCAATGATCGCTCGAATAGTGGTCGTGCAGCCTTCCAGAGTGTGATTGCCTCTATAGTATGTCCATCTTTGTTTGCGACATCCCCAAGACGTAGCATACACTCCGCGCGGCTTTGATGTACATCCATATAAGTAAAACCCGCCAGGGCAACTTGATACAGACTTGTTGCTGTCTCCTCATCCTCATTTTCAACAAAAACATCCCCTAGGAAAATTAGTGCCTTGTGGAGTGCCAATTTCTCTTTTGATTTGTAGGCATGCACCAGGTATATTGTTGCCCATTTGTGCTGCTGGCCACCAGCTGGCCAGGCCTTAATGTTGGCTAATTTTCCCAAGCAAAAAGAGTTGGCCTCAATCTGTGCTTCCTTCAAAGTGAGACATTGCTGGAATTTTACCATTGCAGAGTCAAATTTCCCTTCCAGGAGCTCCATGTTTGCTTCAGCCAGGTCACATGGGATGATTGCTTGAGTACGACTCCTCCTTTGAATCGCTCTAGCCATATTCAAGTTGTGATACATATTTTCTTTGCTTCCACCAATCTCCATGTCAATTAGAGCAATATTGAGTAGTGCAAGCACATGAAGCACAGGATGTTTTTCGGATGAAGTGGTTTCAGCCATGTCTCTGTAGATGTTTTGAGCTTCTATGTATTCTGATTTCAAGCGATGAATCTCAGCTTGATTGTGTGTGATGTCAATGTCTAGACGTACTCCTGACAAACCACACAGACGAAGGAGATCTCGAGCCCTATTAAGTTTGTCCCCGCTTCCCCGGTATTGCCCAAGAGGCAAGGAGCAGATCACTTCAGTTAGAGTTGCGAAAGCTTCCTGGTAGAAGTTTCCGGACAATTTGGATAGCTTTTGTGCTGCACGTATATAAATCTGCCCTGTGGAAATGTCTGCAACTTGGCATTTGACCCGTCCAAATGATAATAAAGCATGAAACTGCTGATAACTGTCATTGCACACCATTGAAGATTCAACTGCTTTTTTCATAAATTCAATGGCTTGATGTGAATCCCTCATGTGGTTCATCATATAAGATCCTGCAGCCTGATAAAATCTGGCTGTTATTGATAAGGATGACATGAGGGATGGAGTGGCTCAAAGAGGTTTTGGACTTACACTCAAGAAGGGGATCATCAATATGATCAAAAAGGCCTCTTGCTTGAATGATTGCTTCTTGTGATACACCTTTGGGGTGAAAGGTGATTCTGAAACGTTCAATCAGGAAGTTTATTCCCAGTTTCTGAAAGTTTATTGCGAGTTTCTGATCCCATGGTTGAGGCAAAGCAGAGGGAATAGCATCTATCAGAGGTGTGAAATTACGTCCAGTAATGCGGTAGAACAAGTTCAGAATTAATGTGTGGTAGATGATATCTGGAAGATTCAAATCACTATCATGTAATCCTCTTGTCAAGATTTCATGCAAGTTGGCGAGATTCATAGTTATTTGGTTGACGACAGATCCCAGCTGCTCTCCCTGATATTTCCTGTATAGCTCTAAAAGGCCACAGAAGTGCTTGTGAATGGCTTGTATGCTGGACCTGGCTGGAGGCAAGAACTGCTGAACATGTTCTCTCACAGGCATTAGTACCCGAAATCGTCTGTTGCCATCCTGGTGTACCAATGAAGTCACCTGCAATGCAGCCTTGCAACTGAGGATGTTTGGAATTCCAAGCTTGCTTTGAACCAGTTCCGTTTCAGATAGTCCATTGGGCAGAATTGACAGGAGACTCAACAATTCCTTGCTCGCTGATGTGATGCGTGGACTTGACAAAGAGAGGCTGATAGAGGCATCCAGACTTGATCGTCTGTCAAAGCCCACAGAGAGCATAGCTGTTTTCTCTGTTTCCCAGTGCAGTAAGACATTGGACAAGCCCTCACAGTCAGTCAGATGGGCAATGAGATCAACAGCCAATGGCATATTATCTGTGACTTGTAGAAGTTGATCTATCTCTTCAAATGTGTGGAAATTATCTGTAATATCCATGATGATTTGTTTGGCTGCATCATCAGATAGGGGTTGCAAAGGTAATAGAACTGGATGAGTCCATTGAACTTTGGCTGGCCTTTCAGCTCCCCGCATTGTGATCTAATCAATATCAGCAACAGGAGAATTGAATGGCTGAAAACATACCATTAATGCAAGGTGTTCTACCTCACTGAGCAGGGATAGGAGGTTTTCAACTCCTGCTTGAGCATGAATGGGCTCCCATACAGTTTCCAGGTTGTCGAGGATTAAAAGAGAAGATGGTTTTCTTGCAAAATAATGGACAACAGGGTATGTGAGATCTGGTCCAGGATTTAATCCGAGGTGTAATCCAACAAGTGCTGCAAGTTCAATGCTTGTGGTCGCTGCTTCGGCACTAACAAAAAATCTGTTCTCAAAGGTAGAAGCAGTGTCAGGGTGATGCAATGCTGCTCTTGCAAGGCTCGTCTTGCCCATCCCACCACCTCCGAGAATAGCTATTCTGGGTGACTTCTCCTTGAGTAATTCAAGGACATTTGCCAACTCTTGTTCACGACCATGAAAAATCTCGGGCTCCGAGGGCAACATTGAGAACGAATTGGAGCTTGAACCCAAAACAATAAGTAATTGGAGTCATAAAAGGCATATTTTACCTGTTTTGTAATTCATTCACTCCCCAATGTACCTGCATTCAAATTACAGCAGCATTCCAGGTGTCAACAACGTCCTCACTGATGACTTTTCCGATAGTGTACTGCTATCTGAAAGTGTCTCAATCAACTGAATCAATTCCTGGTGCATGCGGTCGGCCTGGTTTTTGAACTCCCTGACATCGTTTAAGGTCCCAGTGCCTGTTTGAATCTATGGAGATTGTTTCAACCAACTAGAAAGAAATTAAAAGGAGTCCTACCCTGAAGACCTCCATTGCTTCAGTCAATCCTGCAAGACAATCTTGCAGTAATTTGTTCATCTCATTACTATGAAACAAATGCTTTATTATG